ATACTGTAAACATAATATGCGACCAAAATATAAACACGAAAGGCGGACAAAATGTTAATGAAACGGTAACATCAGATTTAAACGAAAAAGTAGTGAGTAATTATTGAATTGTATCTGTGACTCAAAATCGATAAAAAAAAAATATGATACGAAATGATATACAGATGATGTAGAGATCAACCTCGAAATTTGAGCGGTTACGCTCACTTACATTATCTACACCCCTGGCAGCATCCTCGATACTCTAGTGGTTATGCTCAATTTCGCTGTCTGCATCCTTGGAATATGTCATAACAAAATCAAAGGCTCAGTGTGCACCCCCTTGTGGATGAGACGAAAAGATTAGTTTGATCACGACATTAAAGGAATCTGTCGGTCGCGTAACGGTAACATTTATTGTCTTTGAAGTCGGGTGTTGCTCCTGTGTAATCTGCAAAAGCAAAAGTATCGGCCTAACGTTTGGTCATGAAATTTTTACCCGAGACCAATCAAATAGATAGCGGTGTGCCTTCGGGTTTGGTATGAAATAATCCAAGAGCGAAAGCGAGCATTACTCCTTGAGTGTCGAAAATGCTCTGGAATATGTAATGAAACAATCGAAGGTTCTGTACGCTCCACCTTGTGGATGCTACAACCTGACTAGTTTGAACCGTTGATGTACACAAAAAGAATCAAAATGAAGTGTAACGGTAAAATTTGTTGGCTGTGAAGTCAGGTAAAATCTTCAAATGACAGGTATCAGCCTTGTAATTGTTCAATTGAATTTTTTCAGGGGTGCTTGGAGCGTTACATGTATTGAGCGTTAACCATCGAATTTCGAGGATGTTTATAATGAAACGCTCTACTTGTCTTCGCAGTTCTTCCGGTTACAGATCTACAAAAACAAAATAAGAAAAATATATTTTTTTTCAATTCCTTTACATTTTGCTATCGCTAAATGTTACTGTCGTGTGGTTTATGGTATAGCATGGAAGAAGTTACAGTGAATTCCTCATCATTAAACGTCAAATCAAGATGGCACTGAAGTAAAATAATACAGATTTGTTATCGAAGGAAATTGTCATAGTATAAGTATTCTGTCTATTCACTTTTACATAGTCCCTCACTTCTCAAAGACAGAAGCAAATTCTTACAATAGTGCGGGTCTCTCCTCAGCATAAAGCAATTACACAGAAAGTTGTACTTTATTTAAGATGTATAATGTAATTTCATGGCGTAAGGACGTTAACCTTGCAACAATAGAACCTGTTTTACATAACCCTGCGCCGCTGTCAAAAGCACAACAGATCTACCGGTTGATGTTGTAGTAATTATGTCTGTTTATAGAAAAAATGCAATGCATCATAACAATCCGTTACCATGAAACAGATATAATATAAAAGATTTATTTGCATTACATTTATTTTTAACAAAATAGTAATTATTCCTCTTCAATATTTGAATAGGAAAACATTGCAGCGAATAAACGATGTCTTTAAGAACTTTTAAAGGTCTAAATTTAAGTATGTACATATAGTTTTAAACATCTCATAACTCAGGACTTGGGGTTGTCGTTGTATCCGTTTGTGTTTTTTTTAAGTAAAACAATTTATTTGTATGGCTCTGGTATTTATATTAATACTATAATACATTGCATATCCGGCTGTATACGCATGCGCACATTAGTATATCATCAAGAGAGGGAGACAATTTTACATGGATACAATTCACCCTGAAAAACGTTCCTTCATCGTTTCTTGAGATAAGTAAGGACATCTGGTTTCCCCATATTTGCGTATAACATGTAACTTCCTGTTGCAATAAAAGCAATATAAAGCAGAACACAATCTTAAACGGTTTATTATTTTCAACATTGATATTATTTTGTTATGTCCTCATCTCTATCTATAGAGAAAGCAAAAGGAATTTTGAGCAAGAGAGCTATACAAATAATTTTGCAGGAAATAAAACCATGAGACCGTATGCAATTTTACTCACTGCTTCTGATCCATGCATCTGATATTTTAATGCATGACTGTGATATTTTTAGTTGGGTCCTCAGCACCATATTGTTTATTCCTGGTAAAATATGATTTCAAGATCTTTTTGACAAGTGGTTATGACCCTCGGATCAAAAACAAGTTAAGGTATTTAGTGATCAATATCAAAAGATACGAACTGTATTCACAGCTTCGCAAAACATGAACTCGTTGATTTTTCCTTTAAACGTAAATGCCTTAAAACTCATTAGTGTTCATATAAATGAGAGTGAAATGAACATATATGGTTTCTTCGGAATGTTTAAGGTTTTTTAATTGCTGCAGATACACCCTATAACACAGTACACGAATCAGGAAATTTGTGAACAGGTGACTTCATTCAAGTCCTTTTAAACTTAAATCCAGCTAGACCTGGAGTCCTTGATATCGTACAATATACTCTTGGAATATCGAAGTGTATTTATGATGAACTCTTTGAACAAAATAACAACAACACTGCAGCAATGATTTTATTTTGATACAACAGATATGTGAAATGATATAAGTATGTCTTCCTTCGTTTAATTTGGAGTATAGATAAGGATTCTCATAACGACGTTAATTATTATATGAACCTTATAAGATGCTAAATAAGATGAATATTGTTCCGTATAGAATCGCTACGACACTGCCCTCTTCAGTGTGAAATCATCATGCTGTTCAAAATATAATTTGGATATTTTTTAGCATGTTCTTTTCTGAAACATGCCAATTCAGCTCATCGGTCATGGACACTCACTATTTTGAGTCTGTGTCGGGTAACTATTGACAATTACCTATTAAACTGTATGTTGTATACTCCACTGTAAACAACTAATGGCGAAGCACGCTGCTACGGATGGGTCATTTAAGTATATCTAACATGTGAAGTTAAGGATGCTGAACGAGTATGATATTAAACATTTGACGTATACGGTATGTCGTACACAGGGGATATATTATCGTGTGTGAGCCAAAGTCAAATTGCTATCTCATTCGTTCGAGGCTACAGTGGCTGGCAGTAAAATAAATGGACTTCGAGAGTTAGTCTAAATATCAAAGACAAATATGCCCTTTAAATGATGCCCTGACTAGCGTGGCCATATGCAATACAATTAAAGTGTTGGTTTGTTTGCTTACTTGATTTTGTAATTAAACAATACAAATTCATCTGGAAAGTACGAGTAGGGATTAATCAATAACAGAAAATAAGTTATGCATTTATTATAAAAAGTGATTTCTGATAGACTGGGACACGCGCCTACAAAACACCTACGTACAACGGATTTCATCCATGCATCACGGTTGGCCGTGGATAGTATTTAAAACAAAGGTTTTCTCTATGCAAGTTTATAAAAATAACATACAAATATACACATTTTCGTCGTCATCCCATTCCATAGTCTGCAAAATTAGGTAACCGAATTATCTCCCTCTAACTGCATGATATTTCCAGAAGTGTCCCTACATCAAATTTCAATCAGTAAATATGATATTTATTGTAAATCAAAATATGTGTTCATCTTGATTGAGGAATATGCCATGGGACATCTTTCTAGGTACACGATAGAAGTTACTGATAACGTCGTTACTTGCCCCTAACACATTGTACATTGTACACGAGTGCTAACTGAATTCTAAAACATTTGATCGTCACAGTAAGTGATACCCCCTAAGTGATGTTACTGGTTACTGGGTCAAGTGGGGTCTCCAAGACAAAAATACGTTTTGTTTTCCAACTCAAAGTACTATCCGTCATCACTGCTGATTTATAGAAAATGGCATTATCGTGCAGTTCTGAATGAAAATACGAATTTTGAATAAACACTTAGGTCAGGGAGGTATTGAATATAAGTAGCAATCCAATAACACTTAAAGTGTAAGTAAAATATGTTAATGTTTCTTCAAGGACGATATCAATACTGAAGCGTTGTAAAATTCGAAATAAAACGTCAAAAAATAATACAAATGTTCCGTATGAATGAGAATATTCGATCTTTTTGCTTATTATCTTCGCTAGGCAATATTTTTTCAATCGAAAGATGGTTGAAGGTATAAAAGACTACAATACAGGCTACAGTTTATGCTGTTTATGCGTTGCAAGTATATATGCATTCACATAGTACTTGTATATGTGATAGCATCTGCAATTGCGGCTGTGTCTTAGATAAGAGTGTTAAACAATAGGTTTTACATGAATGCAATAAACACTATAGCAAAATATCAGCATCTTAATTGTATTATCGTACTGAATTTTCAAAAGAGAGGTTTTGTCGTATGATCGTATCATCAAATGTACTATATCCGAGACAATTATCAGAACTTATAGAAAACAGACTTGCATGTAATTTGCGGTGTTTTTTTTTAATTATTTAGTTAAAGCTGAATTCATATCATTGCTGCATATATAAAACATAACAGGAATCACCATGAACATATTTTAGGATAAAAAGTGTTATAGAGAAGTAAGCTACATATGCAGGGCGGTTTATGTGACTGATTTGACCAGCATTTGCTATAAATATGTCCACGCTCCCAACTTATGACCACACCTAACGATACTGGCATATACATTAACTGCCCCATAGTGTAGTAGTCGTTATTGCTATCACTGTTAATTATCCTATTATATCTGAAGATACCAGACGGTAGCACTGTAGGTACAACACACACTACGGGCCTGCATACCCACGACGGTCTCAGACCCTATAACAAACAATATCTAATTAAGTTATATATACTAAGTCATTCCATGATGTTAGTCACCCGCCATTGCAGACTGACCCATCGTCTGCTAACGGCGATAATAAGCATCGGTATGATGGCGGTACTAGTATGTGGGTACCCCTTCTCTGATCATAGAGGTCCGTGCGATGCACCGTTCTAGAGCCTATGGTTACAGACACTGCACGAAGTGTTACGCTCACAGCAAGCGGCGACCATGGAGTGAGAATTGGAACCTATCGCACTGTCGTCGCTAGAACACACTTGAGCTACAAAGAGCGAGCGTAGAACGCCATCGACTGTATTGGTTTGGAGAGCGCTGTGGTCTACTCTACTTGAGCGGTTGAACGCTCTGTGCTTTTAAGTCACACACAATCTTTATCTAGTGAAAACCAAGACGCGGGACATCTTCGTATCTCTTTTTAAAGATCGATTTATATTTTTTGGTTGCATTACAAGTGACATAATGTGATGACGAATTACAGTCTGTGACAGAAGGATATTTATGCATATTATTTCAACTTCTGTGGAATTTGTACAACTTACACGTGCGTGTGTAAGATAAAGTTATTTTATTATTTAACTACAGTTTTAATTTCGATGGCGTTATCAGGTTATTATAATTGTTTTCCTTCATCAGAGATTGAAATTTAATTATTTGTCTGTTCAGCAAATATTATTTTTATTTCATAGATATACCTCGAACTGTGAACCGTATTCACGCAGTGAACGTATCCGGAGTGTACAAAGGATTTTCACACTAGTGACTTTTAGGTGATAGAGGAAGAGACCTGTCGGGTACAATATGGATATGAATTATGTATATCATTCCCAGATATATGAAATATAAGACAATATCCTACAGAGTGTTGACTGATTTCCAAAGCCAATGGTCACGGATGATGGAAAGGATTATTAGAAGTATTGAAAAAGTTAATTAAATTCGCATTATATATTCATTAAGCAATGGAGCTTTATGTCGGTGTATTAGGCTTATGGACTCCGTAGTATCGCAGCCGTTGTCATACCATAGTACGACACCATGTCAGAAATCTTCAGGGAGATAGGCATTTCATATAATGGCATGTTCATAATGTGAAAATTGCGAAATCCAGCTGGTTTTTCAGACAATGTTTTAAATGAAATCACATCAGCTGTTATCATGGAGAGGTTCCTATGAAAAACAAAATTGTTTGTGTGTTTAACAATCATCTACTTCACACATCAATGGAATAGTTCAAACAACTAAATTACTGTTGGAAACACTTTACAAGTTCTGTGAAATGTGAAACAGCATATTTTGTTAATTGGAGTTTCGTAACCGACATTACTTTGTGGAGTATTTAAGAAACTTTAATATGAGTGTTTTAGTATATATATTTTTTCTGAATCTTTGAAATTGACGTCACCAAGAGCGACAATAAATAACAAAGCACGACATATCACAAGAGACAGTCGGGTTTTTTCTGGAGTTGAATCACTTTTGGAACCAATACAATAGTATTATGGTGTGAAATCATCCATACATTGGTGTTGCTATGTGTATTTCAATTCGATTGTTTGGTGTGGAGCTACGAACCATGGATCTTATAGGACATAGTGTGTGTTTTTCCTACTGTAGGAGGATTTTTTATCTGTGTCTTACCATTTTCATCGCTCTCGTGACAGGTAAGTCCTTTTTTTTCTCCGATATGTTTACAAATTTAAATTACTCAATTTTATTCGAGATGTTCTTCGTACTGGGTTTTTTTCGCATACTGAAATCTTTCTCTTTTCAGAGTGTATTTCCTTCGATTTCAGATTTTACGTTAGTTGGATTTATTTATCCGAGTGTTTTCAGAAAACCACCGACATTCCCAAACAATATTGTTGAATTAAACGTCATTGTTCCTCATCAATGTTCTAGTCACGGAACACTTACGTTTCCATAAAAAGATATAGGAGCCAAAAAAATATATAGTAACGTCATTTTATACTAGACTTTGACGGTGTGTACTAATTAATGCGAAATAAACATACCATAATTGTATTTTGTACAGGTATACATCTTTGCATTCATAAAGTATATCACTACAAGTGATTTCCAAATGCACTACTATTTGTGAGGCGTGTTTGTACTAAACATGATTAAGCGGATCTGATCGTACTATCATCGTATGACAGATGAATTTAACAAAACAAAAAAGTCAGAAGCACTTGTAAAACGACGGTCTTACAGAGTAAATTGTCCAAGTATGAGAGTTTATTGTTTATATGCATTGCAACATATTTTGTTATTGTTTATATTGTCAGTTAAAAGTGATTTACATATTTTCTATCAAAAATTGATCTTATTATTAATTTTCCCAAATTGCCTTTATGTATTTGATGTTTAGATACCCATCAGCTGTGACAAACGTGCACGTGACCACGCCCTTGCCTGATAAGAGTGTACTTTGTCCCCGCATGGTTACACATTGTCGTGGTCGTATTGAGTTAACGTCGTTCAAGTACGCAATTCATGTACACATAGAGTGGTTTTAACCACCTTTAAAGATACTTCTGTTGATACGATGATTGTGTTTAAGAAATGTCTGCCTCGTTAGTTAGAAATAATACAGACCGTAAGAACTGTGTTTATATTCCTATAAAACTCAATACAATTCTGTAGACAGTCACAGATGACTACATCAAAATGTATACTAAAATCTTACATGCACAAAATGTAACAGCGAGGCATATTTATGATATATACATATAATTTACAGGTTTTCTTTACAAATTTGATTTACAAAAATGTGTTGAATGAGTTATTTTTATTGGTGAAATGAAAGATAGTTTTTGTACTCAATATAAAAGATTAAAAGATTGCCGAACACGAGGCAGGTTAGAGGCTTGTGTGATCGTATCTTTTTTTCTCAGAGTACACGTTACATATACCGCAGGCAATATAATCATGTAGTTGTGAGCCATTAATAAATAGATTTAAGCTCGCAAGCGCTTCATTTTTCAACTTTTTTCCGAACATATATACCGGCGAATTTGATTGGTTAGTGTATTGATGCTTTCTTATTTCCAACTGATGGTGAACGCCGTTGTTTAATCATAAACTAAATATTAGTAAACATTATCATTTACGTGTGTATCCCAGACATATCATAACAAGAACAGCAAAATTCAATTATGTATTCGCTACTACCTTGCTTTGGAAATGGTAAACAACGTAATAAATATTTGTATTTTTACAAATTAACACGTGATAAATCATAACACAAACACACAAGAGAATTAGAAACTGTTTACCTAATTGAACATTGAACCCGAGTCTGTGTTATTAGTAAAGCTTCATTACAATTTTTGACGTGAAAAATGAACATGCATTCTTTGAAACAATGACTTTTCGAAGTGTCCCAATCAATGTGTGATATGATGTTTTGTTCCAAAACGTGAGTATTGACACACTAGCATCGGACAGGTGGCAGCCTTAGGAATTATTTTCTTTTGCAAAAAAACAAATAGCCTAAAGATGACGTGTTATCATCAAAATAAATTATGGCATTAATATATAATTATCACCATTGATATATACATATGATGCTAAGTATGCTGTTTTGAAGTAATAGGCATGTACGTTTCACAAAATTGACCTTGACCTTTGTAATCACTACTTTATTATTATTCCATTTCTTTCGAAAACATTTCAAATAGAACATTATATGTCTACACCTACATTTGTACCACCCACAGTAAAAGTAGCATTGCCACCATTTACAGAGGACGTTTCGCTCCACATCGTCTGACTCGTTGCCTTAAAATTTATATATATATAACACTCCTTTACCCCCTCCAAGCTATCATCCTACCTCCTCGATCCCATAATGTCGGCCATATGTTGTACATATAATACAAGCTCGTGGTCTTGAGATGAGGCATGTTTCAAATAGATCTTATCTTAAAATGTTAGCTATGCACCCTTTTTCACAATGTTTGGCAAAATATTTTCAAATAAGATCTGTACAAATAGCAAAATAGCCTCTAGCCATACTTTTCATTCGCCACATCTCCGATTTGATATATACCAAGCGTTTACCATCCAATGACAATATTAAATCGTAAACAAAAGGAGAAAACCATGGTTATGCACAAAGTCAATACTGTATGGTGTACATCTAAATCTAAACACATATCTTTGATCATGTTTCTTAACGAAATGATAAAACATAATTTGATAACTGCATATTTCAAAATATAATTTTAAAGCAATATGATCTTAAAGTTCCTAGGGCAATGAGATAAAAAGTAAAAACGATATCAATAAAAACGGAAGGCTTTCGGTTTCAATGTGTTTGAGCGGAAATCTACTTGATCGTAATTACGCTTGAATGTGATCCGGATAAGTCAGTTTTGCGTTTGACACCAATGTATAACCATGTTTTCGCTCGACGCTGACTGCCATAATCTAATTCGTGGCGCGGTTCGTTGCAGTGATATCGAGTGTTAAATCGGAATTTGATCGAGTTAGCGTTAATTACCTCGGTAGATCATTTCTAATCGAATGTCTCCTGACATCGAATTTGATATCATTGACACCGTATTGTCAAAGGAATTGACTTGCCTCATTAGGGCAATTGTTGTGTTTTGTAGTTTTCAAAGTTATTGATATTTTTAATAGTACGAATTACGTATAATGGATGGTGCTTCTTTGATATTTTTTAAATATCTTCCAATCATTTTAATACCGTGTTGCCAATGATGTCACAATTATGTAGTCCATTGGTTCTTTATGCTACCTTATATCACTTATATCACCATAGAGTATAACTGCAACATTTTGGCATACAATTTCACTTATAAGTACTATTTGTAAACTGCAATCTTCTCTATATTGTTGATGTTTACAAATGCTGCAATGCATATTACTTATATGTTAAGTTCCACAAACAAAACGTTAATGTTTGTATCTCCTTCTCGATTCGTTCTTTACATTCCGTTATTGATGTTACATGCCTTCCGCTTTAGTTGTTCTCAACTTACTCGCTGGTGAAAACAAAAAATCATAACATAGTTGCTGTCATGCTCTGCCATTGGTTTGACGTTTTCCTGACCGTTTGCTATCTAAGATATGCGTCAAAGCTGATCTCATGATCTAATGATGCAGTCATAATTTGCACAAATGACTGCTCCGATGTACACGTACTTCGGGAGCATACGGATATGGAAAGACATTGGCCAACGTGTAGCCGGAAGTGCAATGTCAAAATATCTGTCAGGTTGCATAATCGATTGCAAATGCACTGTCATGTTCGTGTATACAAATACTGCTCAATGTATTTATTATATATTTCAGTTATACTGTAAGCATGCCAAAACATTCCAAGTTCATAATTTGTAAAATAATGCCACGTGTCATAAGTTTTCACCTTACGTCATGTCCTTTTGGATTCCGTGTTACTTTACTCATAGAAAAAGGAATTTTCCTGACTATGTTTTAAGTCACGTATTGATGAAATTTAACGTAGAGCTAAATAACTATAAAGCGCCTCTTTTAATTATATGAATATAATGAACTATTTCATAGAAATCTGACCAAGACTAGTGAACTGGCGCAAACAAGTTAACATTGTTTCGATGCAAATGACGTCAACGTGTCGATGTGAATGACGTCAACGTATATCTTTGTATTACATGACGATATAAAACTTTATTAAAATTGGATTTCAAACGAAATCACGAAAATTAAAAGAAATAATAATTGCTAAGAATAAATTTAGGAAATGACGTTTCGTAAAAACAACGTCGGGCACGTCATTGTATGCCATATGATGCAAATTAATTTCAAGTGATGGAATATCTGTATTCTTATTTCAACGTAGCTATTATGATATTTGATGTGACGTCACATAAATCATAACTGTAATTGTGCCTATTGTGATTATTATTTTTTATTTGGAAACCTAAGTCAGTTTTGAAAAAAGCATAAACCTAATATATCACATTGCATTTCATCGTATGAGGTGATTTAAATCCCCTGTTCCATCTTCCGTTTCAGAATTTTAGAACATTAACTACAGAATAGGTGTCATGATCGTCTAGATGGGAACAACAAAATGTTCGGTAAAAAGTTGTATAATGTGTACACATAATTTGTATACATATACAAAGCCCTATGCAGGTTCTGGGAAAGAATGGGCCTGCTGTATTCCACATGATATCGCTAGGGGCTACTAATGTGGGAATAGGGTGTTGAACAGTGTGTTTTCGTATGTATCTTCGTCTAATGGAATATTAAGAATTAAAAACTAGCCTGTTGTTCTTAATGCAACACTTGTAACCTCTCTGCATATTTCTTTCCTTCCTGATACGTCTTTTCGACAGCGTCTCCGGTGCCATCCGTCTTCCTAAGATGACAATAAATGTTGCAAGAGATATACAAGCACTAAACAAAACAAACACAAACAAACTTTTCAGCTTTCATCAACAAAATGAAATTCAAAGTAATTGGTTGGTTCCGATGTCTTTGATATTACAAATGTAGCTTTTCTGTTGACATTTTTGTTTTTCGTTTTTGATGTGTTTTTTTCTTGATAAAGCAATTTTGACGTTTTAATAATTCATAAACTCATAATACATCATTGAAATTTTCAATATAAATCGGCGAATGAAAATTGATATCATTGTTAAAACTTATA